TTCAAATTTCGCTACAATTTGCACCACATTTTGGTTTCTTAAAATTCGATTTTATGAAAAAAAAGGAAAATCCTTCGTCCAAGTCCTTGTCAATAGTATCACGAAGACGTGTAGCAAATTTCATGAAAATCGGTTAAATAGTTTTCGAGAAATCTTGACGACCGACTTTAGAAAAAGCGTTTTGAGAAAAATGCGTTTAAAGATTTGAGTGCTGGTATAAGAGCCATTAAAGAGTGCAACTTCCCAGGGTTCTATCTTCAAAACTACTACTCTTATCGACTTCAAAATTGAATACAATATTCTAGATGAGTTGTAGAATTTAAAAAAAAATTTGTTTGAAAGTCCCAAACCCATGTAACCCCTTAAACAAAAATAATATATAATTATTCTTTCTTACTATTTTGTGCCATTCTTTTCTTGTCATTTCTTTTAAATATTCTTTTTAAATGAAAAAATTGTGTGTTTTATAGTAACACAGTTTATTTTTAACCAATTGCATATTATAATCGTAAAATATAATATGTATATATATATAAGCATGTCGAATAAGATATGAGAACCGTAGTTGTATATGACAGGATGTTACTTATCTTTATCCTCGTTTTCAGAATGCACCGGAACAGCGTAATTTTAGACGTGTTTTTGCCTTCAAGAATCCGTCTGTGCTACGAGAGCAAGACTTGTTAAATAAAAGAACGAAAAAGAAGAAAAAAGAAAAATGAAAAAAAAAAGAAAAATTTTTAAATTATAAATGTAAAGGGTAAATTCATCGAACGCCTCGTACTTTTATTCATTTAAGTACGAGAATGGTTTTAGGAAAATCTGTTGAATACACTGTCAAGGGAGGAAGTATGACCAAAGATCGTTTAAATCTTGCAACGAATTTTCATGTTAATTCATCGGAGTTAAATTATCATCGAACGATGGATCATCAATAGAAATTCGTCGCTAGTTGAATATCAGCAGGATTATTATTATTATTATGTATATTTATTAATTTAGTTTTAAGAATAATTATACGAAACGCATATCTTTTATATAACGGAAACGGATACAGATATGACATTTGAATATAATATATTTTTATCAATTTTTAAAAACGTTATATATCACGTTAGGTCAAAATTGACAATAATTTTGTGTTTAATATAACAAATATTTGTTTCATGATAATTTAGGTTTCTCAAAAAAATAACAACACATGAGATCATTTGCATAGGTTTACGTAATAAAACTTTTACACGGTCGAGTGTGTTTCGATTGCAAAGAGACTTAGAAGTCTTTTTATTTCTTTTTTTTTTCTTTTTTTTTCTCTAAATTTACATTCGATGAATAATAATGCGCGTGCACATTAAATAAGATCGATTAATTTTCAAGATAATGCAAAATGTCGATGAGAGAACGAGAAGGAGAAAGAATAAAAAAACGGCGAATGAAAAGAAAAAAAGAAATATATTACGACGGAGTTAA